ATCTGCAGAAAGGGGCATAGCCAGTTGTGCGGCCCGGGTCCGAGCACATCAGCAGAGGCAGGGGAGCTACCACACACACACACACACACACACACACACACACACACACACACACACACACACCCTGAGGGCAGGGACCAGCCTGCGCCCAGAGCACTGGCACAGAGCTCTAAGCATTCTAGAACGTGATCTTTAGTGCTAGTCACAAGACAGTGTTGGCCTGGGAGAAAGGGGGCTTCTGAAGTCTCTGGGGGAGGGGGCCACAGGGGGCTTCAGAGGAGTAGGTGGAAAGGGGGTCAAGGGTTCCAAGAAGGACCTTCCAGAGAACACCTGGACTCTGCTGCCACCTTGTGGTCAAAATTTAGGGAAAAATAGTTGTGGCTGTCCTGGGCCAAAAAATGGGCCTTAGGGAGGGATGACCTTGTTTCAGAGTTCAGTGGGGGTCAGGCGTGGGGGTCTGCTCTCCTAGACCCCCAGAGACCCAGACTCCGTACTCATGGGCTGTCCCTCTGCCAGTTTAGACAAGAACACGGTAGGTGGGGGCTGGAAACCTCAGTTTTGCAGTGGCCACGCACTTGCTCCCCTTCGGAGCTGTGGCCTGGAGGGGCGTCCGCAGAGGGACGAGTCCAGGTATGAGACGAGATGCAAGCACAGATGCTCGGACACAGGGCGCTGAATCCAGCCCCAGTAGCGCCCGGGGATGGGGACAGGAACTTGAGCTCCCGCGGGGCTCCTGGTGCAACCAGCTCACCTCGCCCTGTAGGGCTTTGCTAGGGGACAGTCCTACTGCCTCTGCCCCATGGGAGAAACCCCTGGCTCCAGGGGTCACTTCCCTGGGCTTTGTCCCTTGTTGGGGACTCAACATCTCTCTCTCTCTTCCTCTCTCTCTTCTCTCTCCTCTCTCTCCTCATCTCTCCTCTCCTCTCTCTTCCTCCTTTCTCTCTTCTTTTCTATCCTTCTCCTGTCTTGCCCCCCTTTCTCCTCTCTCTCTCCCTCACTTCCTCTCTCCTCTCCTCTCTCTCCCCTCTCTGCATCCCTCTCTCCCTCTTCTCTCTCCTTTCTCTCCTCCCTCACTCACTTACTCTCTCTCCTCTCTGTCTGTCTTCTACCTCTCCTCTCTCTCTTCCCATCTCTTCCTCCTTTCTCTCCCTCTCTTCCTCTTTTCTATCTCTCCCTCCTCTCCTCTTCCTCACTTCCTCTCTTTCTCTGTCTCCTCCCTCTCCTCTCTCTCTCCCTCACTCACTTCCTCTCTCTCTTTCTGTCTCCTCTCTCTACCTATCTCTCTCTTCTTCTCTCCCTCTTTCTCCTCTCTCCCTCTCCTCTTTTCTCTCTCTCTCTCTCTCTCTCTCTCTGCCCCCCCCCCCCCGGGCATGAGGCTCTGTCCTCTCCTCCCAGCTCCCTCAGGGCAGGTGCTGCTGGGGGGGTTCGGGTCTCACAGGGCGTCCTGGAGAGCAGGAGCGGGCTGAGGGGTGACTTCTGTTTGAGAGGGGCCTGCTAGGTTTCTACCGCTGGACTCTGCGTCTCTAAGCAGAGGGTGGGCCTGCCCCAGGCCTGCATGGGAGGATTTAAAGTTCAGGAAAAGGCAGGAAAACCCAACTTGGCTGGAGCTGCAGAGCCAGAGACAAGTGGGGAAGGGGTGGGGGGGAGGGTCCCATTGCCTGGACAGGGTGGGGGCAGGGCCAGAGCCCAAATGAGGCCCAGACAGTGCTATGGGTCCTCGCCCACGCCCACTCCAGTGGCGTCCCTCCAATCAGGGGAGGGGCTGCCCTCTCCTGCCCCCCACCCTCCCGAGCATTGGGGGAGAGAGGGAGTGATTAGCATGGGGGCATTGTCCCGGTAATGGGCCCCAGCTGCCGCTTGAAAGGCGAGACAAAGCGCCAGGCCGCTCCACTCGCATTATCCCCTCGTTAAATCTCTGTTATTAGATTAGATTCCAAATGTATTGATTCGGGCCTGGGGGGAGGGGCCGGAGCGAGGCGAGCTGCTGCCTGCTAGTCCCCCCAACCCCCACGACTCCCACTCGGGTTCTCCTGGGGAGTCCTGGGTCCCCCGATCTGGGTCCCCATGGGTTTTGCGCCCTAAAAGTTACAGAGAGATGGAGGGAGGGATGGTCCTTCGGAGTCATTGGGTTCAGGGCATCATATCTGAAGGGGAAAGGCAGCCCCACCACCACCACCACTAGGGATGGTGACTGTGGCGTGGTCCCCAACTCGGAGAGGTACCAAGGGCCGGAGAGATTCAGCAGGGCCATTTTCAAAGCCTGCAGTGGAATCCTGTGGACAGAAGAAACACGTTTTGGAAGGGGGAGGGGTTGGGAACTGGTGGTAGGAGGCGCCAGGGAATGGAACGGATTATGGCCACGGATTGGACCGTGGACCCCGTGGGGTGGTCTCTTCTGCCCAGGTGGGGAAAAGGGCAGAGCTGTGGACACAGGGCTGAAGGAAGCTGGGTGGGAGGGAAATTTCGGATGTTCCCTGTTCCTCGCCTCCCCCCCTCCCCCGGCTGGGCGCAAGGCGAGCGCGCGCACGGGGGGCGCGGATGGATGCGTTTGGTGCACCGGGGACGTCTCTGGCGCTGGACCTCAGTTTCCCGTCCCGGGCAGCGAAGCCTGGAAGCCTGGCTGCCGGGTCGATGCACTGATTGGTTGTGGCTCGTGGAGCGAGAGATGCTACAAGGAGCGGCTGGTGCGAGGGGCTTAATTGGCTGCCTGGATGCGGGGCGTTGTTACCCCATTGATCGCGGGGGCGGGGGTCGATAGGTTGATCCGTGTCTTACTAGTTCTCTGGCCGGACACTTTGTCAATGCCCCCCACTTACTGACCAGTGGCGCATCGACAGCCGGAGTGTCCAGCTCTCGCTCGGATGCCCCCGCATCCTCCAGCAGCCCGAGTGAGAAGAGGCAGTCTGAGGGGGCCGGAGGAAGCCCATCTCCTCTTTTTATGCAGGAGGCCCTACGTCCACCGCCCTCTGTGGGGGTGGGAGTGGGGTGGGGAGGAGTGACCTCAAAACCTCCCCTTCGACCACAGATAAGCATAAGCTCTAATGGTAAAGGTCTGGGGTGGACGCAGAGGACGACCCCGTGCCCAGATTACCTTAGGAGCCAGCACCCAGTGACGGTATTTCATGAGCACCCCTGCTCACCCCTGGGTGGGAAACCAGGAATGCAGAACCAGGCAGAGCTTCCTACTCTTCCACACAGGGACTCCCCAAGGGTCACTGTCTCGCCCCTTTCTGGCCAGTGGTGGTCACAGTTTTCTGAACAAGAACGGCTGTTTGGGGCCAAGGGGAGGACTTTGGGGTCTTTTGCTGCAGCCCTCCTGTGGGCCAGGCTGTAGTGGTCCATCCCCAATCCCTCTCCTGGTGTTCCCCCTGAGCTGGGGGTGCCCTGTCCCTGGCCTCCAGGACTCCTCCGAGGGACACGGAGCCCAAGACGGAGTGAGAGAAGAGACTGGAAGGGGAAGGCAGGAGCCAGGAAAAGCCTCACAGGGAACAGGAGTCCTTCCTGGAATGTTCTGGCACTCTTGCCCTCTGAATGCCTGTTAGGTGGAGACTCAGGGGGCTCTTTTGTCCGTCATAAGCCCAGGGGCAAGGATCTGAGCAGAAAGATCAGAGTCTAGGCCCTGACCCTACCTCCTTTTTGCATTTTTTGGGGCGCAAACTGCATGGGCAGTCGAGAGCCCAGCTCAGCTTTCTAGGCGTTGGTGAGCCCCAAACCAGTGTGGGTGCTGGCCAAGGTGCTGACGTCCTTGCCTCTCCTCCCGGCTCCTCTGGCAGGAGGGCAGTTTGCTCTCAGCTGCCCTGAGTCCAGAGCCCAGAGCCCAACCAGTGGACACTGGCCCTTCTAGAATCTCTGTGGAGAAGAGAAGGGGCGCATCAGGGATCCCCCTTCCTAACCCTCCACTTACTTGGTGGTTCTGGTCCTGACCCTACACCTTAAGTCCCACCTCCAAGGGCCTGGAAGATGGAGTTGTTTTGGTTTTGGTTTTGGCTGTTGAACCACTCTGGGTGATGCCAGGACTCAACCTTGGTGGGACTCGGTGGAGTATATAGGGTACTGGGATTGAACCTAGGTTGGCCACATGCAAGGCAAGTGCACTACCCACTGTACTATCTCTCTGGTCCTTGAAGATGGAATTTAAACTTCATTGCCAGGGGGTTTAAGTAGCCATTGCTAGAGCATTTATCTTACATGTTGGAGATCCTGGGTGTGATCTCCAGCACCATAGGAAAAAAAAATCAAACTCTGCTTCTACCTGCAAACACTCCGCCCTGCAATTATTAGGGATCCCCAGTGAGGAAGTGACCCAAAGATGTGGTTAAGGAAGCGCTGGGCAAGAGAGAGGGAGGGGCTCTGGCCCAATGGGACCATGCACCAAGGTGGACCCAATGGCCCCCCAGTCTGGGGGTTCCTGGGGGAAAAAAGGGGGGGAAGCATGCACTTTCTGAGGTTGCTTCTTCCTAACGCCATGCCCTGGGGGAAGCCGGGCCATTCCCAAACCTCATCAGTAGCTGTCCACCCGCCCCCAGCGGCTGACAATGGACGCAGGTGAGTTGAAAGTGTCATTGATTTTATTACCCCTGCACCCCCCACACCTCCTGGAACAGGAGCAGCGCCTGGAGGGAGTGCCAGAGGGGATAGGGATGAAGGTACCTTTAGGGCTCAAGAAAGAGCCTGGGGTAGAGAGCTGGGGAATCGGGCTTTGAAACTGCAGAGAAAGGTGCAGGGTACTGAGGCTCCTTATGGGGGGGGGGGGGCTTCAGGCCAGTGGAGAGCCTGAAGCTGGACGCTAAGAAGGAAGTGAGGGCTGGGGTGGAAGAGTGTTGGGAGGCAGCCAAGGATGGACCAGGGCAGGGAGGAAGCTGGGTTTGCCACACAGAGTTGAGGGGCCTAAGAAGTGGGAGGCCAGTAGGGTACTGGCTGGGTCTGTAGAGCTGAAGGGCGTGAGAGACTGGGCAGGGTGAGTGTCCACCGGGCCTTCCCGCGGCCTGACCTGCGCATGCTCAGCAGTACTGCCAGATGGACCAGAGCGAGATGAGCGTGGCACTGTAGGCCAGCACAGCCAGCAGGTAGACGCGGAAGAGCAGCCTGTCCAGCACGGAGCCCACCCGCAGCCAGTCCCGGGCCACCTCGCGACTCTCATCCCGCCGCTCCAAGTAGAGGCGGATGGCGGTCAGTTCCTGCAGCAGCCCACGCACGGCCAGTGAGGCAGCCCGTGGTGGTGGGGACGGGCTGCCGCTGGCCCGCGGAGGCTTCTCCAGCTCACAGGGTGCGCCCGGAGGGCTGCAGTGGCTCCCATCTAGAAGCAGGGAGCATTGGACAGGGAGTGAGGCCCAGCGGGTGGAGGGCCCCAGGGCACCTCCTGCACTCCCAGGCCTCCCGAGCATGACGGAGTGTGGTCCTAAGGGCCCCCAAGCCCTAGGAGGCCAAATAATAGACCAAAGAGGACTGAAACCTGAGACATGCCCCTGTGGCCTGCAGAAATATCACTGCAGACAGTCTGGAAGGCTGTAGCCAGAGCCTGTTTGCCCAAGGGAGGCCTGGGCTTGCTGCCTGCACTGTGGCCCCCTCGAGAGCACTGGACCCCCTCCCCCCAAGCACAGAGCTGACAGGCCCTGAGCAGCGCCAAGTGTCTCCCCAAGACCCAGCCAAGAGGAAGTTCAACTGGGCTGCCGGGAAGATGCCTGCGATCAGATCCAACACAAAGCATCAGCAGCCCCGCAACACACCTCACACACACATGCACATACATGCACATGCACACACAGAGACATATGCACATACATGCACACACTATATGCGTACACATACATATGCACTATACACCACATGCACACACACATGCATACATGCACATACACACACTCACACACATTCACTTACTATACACACATGTACATGAACACACACTACACATGTGCACACACACTCACACACATGCACAACCACACATGCACACACTTGCACATGCACACAAACACTTGCACACATGTACACACATGAACACATTCGCACACACACGTATGCATACACAGACACAACCACACACATGCACATGCGCCCATGTGCACACATACACACACACACACACACACCAAGAAGCAGAGCTGGGGTAATGCCCGAGAGCCCTAGGCCCGCCATGGTGGCGCCTATACTTGGCCTTGGACCCGGCCTGGGCATGGAGGGGCAGGACTAGAAACCCTGTCTTCTGCGCTTTGTTTTTTAAATTCAGGAGGGGTCGCACCCAGCAGTGCTCAGGGGTGCTCCTGGTTCTGTGCTCAGAAGTGCCCCTGGCAGTATCAGGGGACTGTACCTGGTGCTGGGGACGGAACCAGGGCTGGTGGGATGCCAGGCAGGTGCCTTCACCGTCCCCCATGCCTGACCCTTCCCTCTAGCCCCTGGCTGTGATTTGAACCCCCAAGGGACCCCTCTGTCTCTCCAGGAGAACGGGCCGCATCCTCTCACCTGCACATGCACGGGGGGAGGTGGCAGGGGGTGGAGGCTGCTCCCCGAGGCACAGCAGCCGGGACACGCGGTCAAGGACGAGGTGGCGCAGCCAAGCGGGCACTGGGCGCTGCAGGTCCTGCTTGTGCACCAGCCGCACGATGAGGATGGTCTCGGCCAGGCTGATCACCAGCAGGGCCATGCACACCACGAAGTAGACGCCTGTGCACCCCACGGGGTGGGGGGACACGAGCAGAGGGTGGGAGAGAGCCGAGGAAGGGACCCTCTGCCTTGGCCCCGGGACTAGGACTCACCGATGAGTGGGGTGCCGATGGCCGTGGCCGGCAGTGTGTCGGACACAATGATGAGGAACACGGAGTAGCCCAGGAGCAGGGTGATCTTGAAGGACACCCTCTCGCCGCTGTTCGGGGGCAGGTAGAAGCCCACGATGTCCATGACCATGAGGAAGATGCTTGGCATCAACAGGCTGACCACGTAGAAAAGGGGACGCCGGCGGATGACCACCTGGAGTCGAGAGAGTAACCGTGGGGAACCCAGAACATCAACCTGGAATCAGCACCCAGAGGCTATAGCTGTGTGGACAGTCTGCAGGTGAGGGACAGAGTCCACCAGGATCATCAGGGACCACTCGGCCCAGTGTCCCTGGGCACCTGGCCAGAGTTCCAGGAATCAGAGCGATTTCAGAACCAAGAAGAGGCCAGGCAGCCTCTTCCCAACATGCCTATTGATTTCTTCTTGGTTTTGTGTGTTTGGGGGGGGAGACACTGGATTCAAAGTCAATCCGGTGGGCTATTCAATGCAAGACCTTGGATGTGGGGTCCCAGGGGTGACCCCGGCCACTCCATCAATGCCAAGGATCAAAGCCTGCCCCTGTGTTATCTTCCTAGCCCCCCCCCCGACATCTCGCAAAGCCTACGGGGTGCCCTCCCTCAGGGGCGCCATGTCCCACTCACATAGAACTTCATTTCTGCATAGGTGTCGCTGCCTTCAATGCTGAACTCCCGAAACTGGGTGAGCACCGAGAGAAGCTCCCACTCGCCCTGGTTCATGAAGATGCTCTTATCTGACTTCACCTTTTCCGGAAGGCGCCACAGAGAGATGTTGATGTCCTGGACTGAGAAGGAGGCGAGCAAGCGAGCAAAGACACAGATACCCAGACACGCCCGTGGGATGGAGTGTCCGCCGCAGAAACACATCAGTGGGGAAAACGCTCAGTAAACGGTGGCATCCAAATCCTGAGCTATTCCTCAAGAGAAAACTTAGGAGCAAAGAGCTAAATTAACCTGGAAAAATGTCCAAGACTTCTTGGTGAGTAAAAAAAAAAAAATCAACTGATAGCCGATTATATACTTGTATATATATATATATATATATATATATATATATTTTTTTTTTATGACATCTTATTGTCTCATTCCTACTTTGGACAAACTTGCAGGCTATTGAATGTAGCCTGCCCACAGGGCAGAGTCTGGCAAACTCCCCGTGGCATACCAAATATGCCAAATACCAGTAACAATGATGGGTCTCATTCTCCTAAAGAGCCTTGAATTTAATCTCAGGGCTAGGATGAAAGAGACGTTACTGGGGCCTGCTCGAGGCAATCGACGAATAACAGGATGATGAAATGAAATGAAAAAAAAATATATGACACATTCATGTAAAATCAAAACCTAGTATATAACTTTTGTGTTTTCCATGCATGTGTGTAAATGTCTAGATGCAAAGGCCAGAGAAGGATCCAGGGGAATGATCACTAGGAAGCAAATTGAATAAAGGTGGTTTTTCCTTGCAGAAGAGGAGGCTGGGGTGTTGGGTAGACCTTGGTAGGTCCCTAGGGTTAGCCCAATAATTGGGGAGTGTGCCATATTTTTGAAAAAAAAAGAAAAATTAAGATTGGTTTTGAGGTTCTTAAGGCAATAGAAGGTTTGAACCATAATCAAATTTGCATTTTTTTGGCTTTTGGGGGGGTCATACCTGGCAATGCACAGGGGTTACTCCTGGCTCTGCACTCAGGAATTACTCCTGGTGGGATTCGGGGGACCATATGGGATGCTGGCAAACGCCCTACCCTACAGGCTGTGCTATTGCTCCAGCCCTCCGAATTTGCATTTTAATAAGCTTCCTCAGGACTGTGAGAAGCACGTGTTGGCCAGGACAGGAGTAAATGGAAGGAGGCTGGGAGATGGCTCAATGGCTAATGCATTGCCTTGCAAGCATGAGGTGGAGAGTTCAATTCCCACTCCCGCCTCATGCGCCTTGCATGATCTTGGCAGCTCTGCGAGGCACTACAAGTGGCTTCGGACTGCTCTGCAAGCACCTCAACTAAAGAGTGTGACCTCCAGCAAATGCCATGGCTCCAAAGATGTTTGAGCACTGCAGTCAAGAGTTTAACCCACCCACCCACCCCCAGCAAATATGTGTGAGCACTGTAGCGAGCCTTAGTGAGCAGCTGAGCTTGAGTGTGAGTCCTGGCCAATGACAGGGAAGGAAAGCAGATGGGACGAAGCTATGGAGACTCCAGCTGAGGTGAACATGGCTGGGATTGGGCGGGCGGGGGGGGAGCATCAGAGATTTGGTGCCAGGTCTGGTGCCAGTTCCTGCATTGTCCTTGGCCTGGCATGTAGAGGGGGTGACAAGGCAGTGTCAGCTCTGCTAGAAGTGGGGAGGAGGCAACGGAGCTAGTAGGTGTGGAGCAAGGAAGAGGTAAGTTGGGTGAGCCGGGGGGTGCACACCTCACGGGCGGGTCTCCCCCCACCCCCAGCCCCCTAGGAGTGCCCCCTTCCCCCGCTCACTGGTGTGTAGCCAGCTGGTGAAGGTCAGCGAGCAGTTCTGCACGTCAAAGGGGAAGTTGTAGATGTCCAGGCTGCAGGCGGTCACCACCTGCAGAGGCTTGTAGTTCATCACCTGACCTTGATGCTGGACGTACACGTATGGAATCTCTGGGGACTTGCCCACATCCACGCTGGCCAGGGGAGAGAGGTCAGGGTGGGGGCTCAAGTAGCAGGTGTAGCCCCGAGGCTGATGCTCTCGGAATAAGCCACAGGGTAGAGACCCCAGAAGGCCCCCCACCCTCTCTGACCCACTTTGAAACAGGTGTTTTCAACCTTCTTGCCCACCTGACGCCACCTTACCTACCAATGTCAGGTAAGGGCGTTTCTTTATTTGTCAAGGTGGTGTGCAAGGAACCCCTGGGCCCTTGACCCACGGGCGGAAGGAACATGCCCAGCGAATTTTCCATGGGCCGCACAGTGCTCAGCTGCCCACTACCACCGGACAGCTGGTGGCAGTGGGCAGCTTTGGTGGGGGCAGCACCTGGTTCCCCTTTGTCCCTTATCCCTGGAAGTTCTGTGAAGTGAAACGTCCCCAGACCCTACCTGTCTGGGACTTCCTCCAGCTGAGCCATGCAGGACCTGCCTGGGCCCCTAGGTCAGCTGCTCTGCTCAACTAACTACGGGGTGAGTGGCACTCCAGAGTCAGGGGGCAACTTTGGACTCCCCCGGTCATTGGCTCTACCCTTGACTTGAAAGTTCAAGGAGTGAAACCAGAAGAGGATCCAGGATGGAGATGCCGTGTAGAGGTGCAAAGGGTGGAAGAGCCACTGCCCATAGGGAAGCCTCTGCCTGTAAGGGGGTCACTTCCTGTAGGGGGTGCCACTTCCTGTAGGGGGCCACTTCCTGTAAAAGAGCTACTTCCCGTAGGGGAACCACTTCCTGTAGGGGACCACTTCCTTAGGGGGTACCACTTCCTTAGGGGGTGCCACTTCCTGTAAAAGAGCTACTTCCTGTAGGGGACCACTTCCTTAGGGGGTACCACTTCCTTAGGGGGTGCCACTTCCTGTAAAAGAGCTACTTCCTGTAGGGGGCCACTTCCTATAAGAGGGCCACGTCCTATGGGAGAGTCACATCCTGTAGGGGAGCCACTTCCCTTAGGAGGGGCACTCCCAGTGGAGGGAGCCATTTCCTATGGGGGAGCACTTCCTGTTGAGGTATAGACTGTCAGGGACAGAGGTGACTTAGCAGCAGAGGGAGGAGGCAATTGAAATAAATGAGTGGGAGGGAGTGGGGGGATGGGGGTGACCTGCCCTGTCCCTCGTTAGGCTACTCTAACTTCTAACTCTGTGGCATCACCACTGGCTGCCTCGCCCCAGACGGGACCCCTGGAGGGAAAAGTTTGGGTTCAATATTGGTCTATGGAAAATAGGGCATTTAAAGGAAGAAATAGGCACGCAGAGAGGACGTGGGCCCCTTCTCTTCTGCGCGTTTGAGGGTGGGCCGCCTCAAAGCCAGCGCTCCCAAGCCACCAATGCCCCCAGCCCTCGGTCCCTGCCAGCACTCACAACTCGTTGATGAGAATGTCGGGGACCCAGATGCTGTGCGTGGGGATGGACAGCTTGGTGATGTTGTCGAAGTCCTCGGGCTGCCACTGGAGAAACTCATCCGTCCAGAACTGCAGGGGGGCACCCCTCATCTCAGGTTGGAGGCCAACAACTCAGGACCACTGCACCCCTTCGTGTCCAGGCAATAGGCGGGCACATTATGGGGGGAGTCTGGGTGCCTGTGACCCCCGGTCTTTGCACCCACAGACACAGCCTGGGAAAGCCCGGGCCACTGCGAATGGTGGGGACCCCCATCCTCTACTGCAGTCTCCAGGAAGAGCTCCTTGCATCCTGGTCTGCACGTGCATGCCCGAGCCTCCTGTCGCTTCACCCCTGCCTCAGTTCCGGGGGGACAGCTCTTGAGTGAGGGACACCAGAATGAAGGTAAGCACTTGCATGGGTGGGGGATCACACCTGGGGGTGCTCAGGGTCCCTCCTAGCAGTCATCAGGGGACCAGGTAGTGCTGGCGACAGGACTGGTGGATTAACTCCTGAACCACCATCTCTACAGCCGTAGCCTCTCGACTTTTAAAACCTGTGAACTGGGTCCTTTGTGGGTTCCAGCTATGTGGCACAGAATGCAGGGAGCAGCTTTCTTCTTGCCTCTGCAGGGAGCAGCCACCTCTGAAGGGTCAGCCCCTCCCCCAGGACAAGTTGCAACCCCTTTCCCGGGCAGGGCCTGGTGGCTCCTCTCTGCTCTGTTGGCCCTTGCCCTCACGGCCGACCTGGCATCTGCCATTGGGCCCGGGGGCTCCGCCCCATCCTGCTTCGGCAGACAGGGAGGGTTCTGAGGGGCCAGAGGTGGGACCCAGGCCAGGGGTCTCCCGGAGAGAGCTGGGAAGCCCCTCCATGTTGGGGTCTCCATGAACTCAGGAGAATAACTCCTCAGGCCGACCAGAGCATCGGGGAATCGGCTTTCTGGTTCTGCGTCTGGGATCCGGAGCACTGGGGTGGAGGGCACCTGTGAGAGCTGGGGAGACCCCGCTCTATAATCTCATCCTCCTGCGCCCCACCTCTGTCTCAGCCTCTCTCTGCCCTGCCGCCTCCCCCAGCCCAGGGGCCAGGGCTGGACAGTCTGGAGACCACATCATCCACCTTTACCTGCCTCCCCACCCCTCCCCTCCCCACCGTCCTCCTCTCTCTCCTCTTCTTCCCTCTCCTCCTCTCCTTCCCACCTTTCCACACCTCCTCCTCTCCCCTCTCCTTCCCTTCCCTGTTCCCCCTGCCCTCCTCTTTCCTCCCACAGTTCTCTCCCATTCCATGCTCTCCCTCTCCCTCCCCTCCACCTCCTCCCTCCCTGCCCCTCCCCCCTTCCCTCTCCTCTCCCTTCCCCTCTCCTCCCCTGCCCTCTCCTGCCACCTGTGAAACACCCTCTGCCCCTGGGCTCAGGGACCTGGTCATAGGGTGATGCCCGTGAGAGCAGAGGCGAGGGGAGAGAGCCAAAGACGTGAGGGCTGAGTGGATGGACTCGGCCGACTTCCATCACCTGATTGGCCTCCAATTTGGCTTAATAGAAGGAAGAACGTTCTAGCAATTAGGGCAGTGCGGAGAGCCAAGTGGCGGCCGGGTGAGCGGTCAGTCGGAGGAAGTGCTGGCATTACAGGAATGAGGAAGGAGCTCAGAGCAGGGAGCGGGCGGAGGATGCTCAGGGGCTCTCTCAGACCCTGACTCTCACTCATCATCTCACCAGCCTGCCCCAAGCCTCGCCCTCACCAGGCCCCAAGTCCAGCCCAGGGAGGGGGCAGATGGGCTCACCTGGCGGTACCAGATGTAGGTGGTCAGCACCTGGTTCTTCTCGTCCTGTGAAAGGAAAGGGAGCTGGACAACAGGGGCCCTGGACACCACCGGGGAGCTTTCTCCCATGCCCCTGCTGTCTGGGAAGGGAAGGGCGGGCAGTCACCAAGCAGGAGAAGCTCCCTGGCCAGCTTTCCCCTTCCTTCCTCCCTTCCTTCTCCCCTCCCTCCCTCCCTTCCTCCCTCCCCCCTCCCTCTCTTCTTTCTTCCTCCCTCCCTCCCTCCTCCCCTCCCTTCCTCACTTTCTTCTTCCTCCTTTCCTCCCTCTCTTCCTCCCTTCCTCTCTTCCTCCCTCCCTCTTTTCCTCCTTCCCTCTCTTCCTCCCTCCCTCCCCTCCCTCCCTTCCTTCCTTCCTTCCTTCCTTCCTCCCTTTCTTCCTTCCTTCCTCCCTCCCTCCTTCCCTCCATCCCTTCCTCCCTCCATTCCTTCCTTCCTCCATTCCTCCCCTTCCTTCCTTCCTTCCTTCCTTCCTTCCTTCCTTCCTTCCTCCCTTTCTTCCTTCCTTCCTCCCTCCCTCCTTCCCTCCATCCCTTCCTCCCTCCATTCCTTCCTTCCTCCATTCCTCCCCTTCCTTCCTTCCTTCCTTCCTTCCTCCCTTCCTTCCTCCCTTGCTCCCTCCCACCCTTCCTCCCTCTTTGGGCCACACCCAGTGCTCAGGGCTGCTCCCAGCAGAGTTCATGAACCATGGGGTGCTGGGGATCAAATGTGAGACTCCCACATGCAAACCCACGAACACTAGCCCTCAGAGCCATCTACCTAACACCAGAATTTCCTTCTTAATTCTAACATGTATATGTGGTGTATAACACAGCGGTAGGGCGTTTGCCTTGTACGCGGCTGGCCTGGCCATGCTGGGTTCGTTTCCTCCGCCCCTCTCGGAGAGCCCGGCAAGCTACCGAGAATCTCTCGCCCTCACAGCAAAGCCTGGCAAGCTACCTGTGACGTATTCGATATGCCAAACACAGTAACAACAAGTCTCACAATGGAGACGTTACTGGGCCAGCTCGAGCAAATCGATGAACAGGATGACAGTGCTACAGTACTACTAACATCTATGACTTTTAACAATAAATATACAACAGAATGAAATATTGCAATAGCAAAAGGTTTAATCATACTGATCTTCTGTTGTCTTCTACTATGTTATGAAAATTGTATATGTGTTCATGATTTGACACATCTTACATAGATAATACACATAACACATTGGGAGATGATTCTTCAGCACAACCCTGTCTGTCTGTCCATTCATGCATCTGCACCCCATATAAAGGTCAGTTTCCGAGTCCGGCAGCCCTAACTCGGCCCTGGCGCTGATGGACAGCTCCTTCGTGAGAGATGTTCTGCAGCCCAGAGATGCTCTGCCTGTGCTGAGCTGGGCTTGGTGATGGGGGTACCTGTGGCCTCCGTGTAGCTGCCACCCCCAGACAACCCCGCCCTGCACTCGCCCTGCTTGGGACTGATGAAGACGCAGATCTAGAGGGTCTGCAGCAGCCGAGCCGTGACGGTATAAAACGCCCTGTGGGCATGGAGACCCCAAGTGTGACACCTCCAAGAGCTTGAAGACAGATGGTCCCGCGGTGAGGCCTGCTGGTGGGGGGTGGGGTGGGGAGATTCAGGGACCCCATCTGCGTCCTGAGCTGCGTCCCAGCCATCACGACCGCCTCCTCCCATCCCGCACTCCCAGGCCCAACTCCAAGCGGGACCCGTGCTGGGCTCTCACCACGTTCAGGATGGCGTAGATGATGACGTCGATGGACACGGTGGTGGGCGTCCTCCAGTCCCGCACGGGTCGCACGCCCTTCTGGTATCTGGCCAGGAGGTGCCGAGACAGCCGCTGCAGAGGTGGCTCCGGGCCGCTGTGGGCTGGGAGTGCCCCCCTCTGCCTGGCTGGGAGGGTGGAGAGTCCTAAGTTCACTCTCGGACCCCCATGGAGAGTGTTGTCCCCACCGACCCGCCTCTCTGAAGGCCCCTGCACCCTGCAGGCAGCTCAAAGCACTCAGGCTTCGGGAGTCCCGAACACAAAGTGCCCCTAACACATAGGAGCCAGTGCCGGGCCAGGCTGAAGAGCAATGTTGAATGCGGGTGAGAGGGAGCAGGGTGAGGATGTGTGTGAGTGTGTACAAGTGTGTGAATGTATGAGTGTGTGTGTGCATGTGTTTGTATATATGCGAACGTATTAATGTGCAGGTGTGCATGAGTATGTGTGAGTGTGTGTGCTTGACTGTTTGTGTGTGAGTATATGTGAGTGTATGTGTGTGCGTGTATTTATATATATATGAGTGTATTAATGTATGTGTGTGCATGAGTATGTGTGAGTAATGAGGGTGTGTGCGTGTATTTGTACATGTGTGAGTGTATTAATGTGCATGTGTGAGTGTATGTGTGTGCCTGACTGTGTTTGTGTGTGAGTATATGTGAGTGTATGAGTGTGCATGTGTATATGAGTGTGTGTGCGTGAGTGTGATTGTGTGAGTACATGTGAGAGTATGAGTGTATATGCATGTGTTTATGAGTATATGTGAGTGTATGAGGGTGAATAGGGTGTATTGTGTTAGTGTGTGCATATGTGTACATGAGTGTATGTATGTGAATATGTCTATGTGTTGTGTGTATGCATGAGTGTGTGAATAGTGTGTATGCATGTGTGCATGAGTGTGTTTGTGTGAATACAGGAGAGTATGTATGAGGGTGTACGGGGTGTATGTGTTAGTGTGTGCATATGTGTATGTGTCAATGTGAGTGTATGTGGCTGTATGAGTGTGTGTGTGAGTGCATGTGCATGCATGCATGCATGTGAGTGTGTATGTTTAACTCCGTATGTGAGCATGTGTGAGTGTGAGTTGTGTGTCATTGTGAGTTTGTGAGCCTAATGTGAGTGTGACTGTGCCTGTGTGTGTAGCAGGAGCCCAAGGGAATCTGTGGGTGTGGGGGAAGCACCCCTAAAGACCCTATTCCTCTTGTGACTCTTCTGGTGCCTTTTCCCCATTGGGTGCTGGGGTTTGAACTGTGCCCCACCCTGGGAGGCAGAGAGACCCCCCCAGGCCCAGGTCCCTTCCCACCTGGCCATCCTATGTCCACAGGGGCACATTTCTGGGTCTGCCCAGCCCCTCTGGGTCTCCTTGACCAGGCTGGACTGGTGAAGAATGGAAGGGGACAGACATCCTGGAACCCACAAAATCCACCCAAGAAGACCCCCCCATCCTGCATCTAGACACACCCGCCCCTGGGTAGCGGAATGCCAGGCCTTCACAGGGCAATGTGAGGGAATGAGGAGGAGGCCGGGAGGACCTGGGGGAGGCAGCAGGAGGACTCAGCCCCAAACCCAGCCTCACCCCAGTGACAGGAACTCCGTGAGCCTGTTTGCCCTCCACCTTCTGGAAAATGGAAACACTGGCTGAGAGGGACCAGGAACTTGGACCATGACTGTGAGGGAAGCCAGCAGGTGATGCACTCAGGGCCAGGCCGGACCAGTCCCCACGGCGAGCGCCCCCAAGTGGCTCTCTGGAAAATCACAGCCCCGTGCAATCTCCCAGCTGCCTGCATCCCTCAGGGCCAGCTCCGCAGGGAAGGGACAAGGGACCACTGGCTCTCTCTCCTTCAGGACAGCATCAACACATGTTACTCACTCTGGCCATCAGGAGAGCTCGTTTTCAGCCAAGTCACCGCAAGACAGGGGAATGCCGGGTCCCACAGAAGCAGGGCCTAAGACTCAAACCCACCTCCCCTGCGTCTGCACTGCCCCAAGATCCCAAGGACCCTGGCCCACACCTGTCCCCTGGACACAGAACAGCCTGGGCCCTTCAGGGCCTCAGCTCACTGCCGGTGGCAGATGCTCAGACCAGCCCTGTTGAGCCCAGGGTGGCTCTTCTGATGCAGCACCCAGGGGACCTCTGTGCCCAGTCACCCTCAAACCTACCCAGTGTCTGGACAGCACTGCCCTGGCCTCCCCAGCTGGATGGAACTGGATCCTTTTGTGAGGCCCTTGGATAAGGCAGGCAGGCAGGAAGGGAGAAGGGGCACGCAGAGAAGTTTGGTGATGTTGGAACTAAGCCCCAGAAAGGAATTTTTGGTCTGATTTTAGGGTCACACCCAACACTGCTCAGGGCTCACTCCTGGGACTCTGGGGACCATCGGGGTGTGTTGGAGACAGAAGCTGGGACAGGCACATGCCAGACAAGCACCGTGCCTGGGGGTCCCACAGCTCCGGCCCCTGGAAGGGAGCCTCTGAAAACAGGCTCACAGGCCAGTGCAGGAGGCGGGGAAACCCAGCACGAACACTCTTAACCCACTGACCCCATCTCAGCTCTAACAAGCTGGCGTGACCGAACAGTGAAGCTCTCCCTCCTGGAGAAGACAGTTCCAGCATAAAGGGGGTGACGACATGGGCTCCAACACCCCACAGCTATTGCCCACTGCCAACGGATGCCAGGGGTCCTCTCCCAGGCCAGCACCCACATTTCCCACAGCGGAATCTCTTCTCTGCAAGCCTGCTGGCCACCAGGCATCGCTCACCAGGGCTCACCCCTCCCAACTTTTTTGTTTTGGTTTGGGGGCCACCCCTGGCAGTGTGCAGGGCTGGCTCCTGGCTCTGGGCTCCTAGATCACTCCTGGTGGGATTCGGGGGACCTTACAGGGCACTGGGGTTTGAACCTGGGTCAGCCGCATGCATGGCAATGCCCTGCCTTCTCCTCTGTGCTTGTGTTCCGGCCCCATCTGCCCCATCTGCCCAACTTTTAAGCGGCGTGGTCTCGAGCTGAGAGGGGTGACAGCTGACCCGGCTGCCACATCCACGCCCCAACCTGAGGGCACCTAACATGCAAAACCCCACCCCCACCAGACTGCCCAACTCCCAGGTGGTGCAAGTCCTGCCTCTTTCCCATGGGCCCTTACCTTCTCCCGGTGCCAGGAGCACAGGCAGGAGTGAGGCGAGCAGAGCCAGCAGCATGGTGCCCTCCCGCCTGCCCGGTGCGGCCCTGCAGGTGAGCCCTGAGATCAACCAACCCGCTGCGGCTCTCCGCGAATTTCTGCGGCTGCAAACCAGGGCTGGCCACCAGGGCTGGGAGGCCGCCGAGCCCTCCAACCAGCGCTTCCTCCTCTTCGGGATCAGGTTTCCGAGCAGGAGGGGAGGGGCGAGCCAGCAGGAGGGAGTCCCTGGGAACCCGCACCAGGGGAGGGGGGACCCCCAGGGAGGAGGCCTGCCCGCTCCGCCTGGCTGATGTCTTGCGAAGTCCTTTTCAGTCTGGTGGCCTGGCCGAGTCGCCCCAGATGTTGCTCAGGGTTGGGGTGATGCTGGAGCCAGGAGCCTGGAGGTAGCTCTCTGCAGGAACACCCTCATGACTGTCTTCCTTTCCCATAGACAGAAAAAGTAACTCTGTGCCCCGATGCTGCCATAGGGTGGGCTGGGGTAAAGGACGAGACCAGGAGGGGTCCCCACAGGACCACACAGGGGACCTCGAGCCCGGGGGTGGGGGGATCTCTGCCGAGAAAGGGGGACCCTTTCATTCTCATTTAAATATTCATATTTAAAAATGTAATGCAATATATTTTAGGTCCCAGAGTTGAAAACTTACTTATAGACATGAGAAGAGGTACTTTGTTGTATTGAATTAAACGGTTTTAATTTCCTTATTTACATAGGTTATGATCATATAGCCATCAGAAATTGGCTTTGACTGATTTATTTTCTGATCATCCTATTTGCCATTGAAGTTTTGTTGGAACCCGCAGCATAAAGTAAATTTGTCATGTCCCTAAGGGGACAGATTGGGATTGGGAGGGAAACTGGGGACATTGATGGAGGGAAGGTCACCACAGGGGTGGTGCTGGAACACTAAATGCCGGAAACAACTATGCTATGGACAACTTCATAAATCATGGTGTTGTAATAAAAATAAAATAAAATAAAAATACAATTTTTAAAATATATTCATATTGATTTGCTCGAGCGGGCCCAGTAACGTCTCCATTGGAGACTTTGTTGTTACTGTGTTTGGCATATCGAATACTCCTTGATATTCGGTAGCTTGCTGGGCTCTCCGAGAGGGGCGGAGGAATCGAACTCGGGTCGGCCATGTTGGCCGCTTGTAAGGCGAACGCCCTACCCGTTTGTGGGCTGGAGCGATACCACAGCGGGTAGGGCGTCTGCCTTGCACGCAGCCAACATGGCCGACCCGAGTTCGATTCCTCCCGAGAGTATTCGATATGCCAGACACAGTAACAACAAAGTCTCCAATGGAGACGTTACTGGGCCTGCTCGAGCAAATCGGTGATCAACGGGAGGGCCTTTACTTTACTTTTATTCATATTGAAGCCATGAAGTAAGGCCAAAGAGAGAGCTCCATGCATTAATGTGCGAGTCCAAGATCCATTTCCTGCCCTGTGGGGTCCTGAGTACCACCAGAGCGACTGGATACGGCCCCAGAAGTCGTATATAGCTGCACATATAGCTCAGTTCATGTCACACACGTATACTTGTACATTTACTATACATAGGAAATATATGCGAGGCATATGCTCCCCCACCTGTTCTCTCTCCCCTTCCAGTATGAATTTAACACAATTAACCAGACACCTGGCTTCCTTACTCCACGGCCTAAAGTGTCCTATTCAAAGCCCCTTGTCTATCCATGAGGGACCCCACACACACACACTTGCTCAAAGCTGAGAGCAGGTTAGAGAAAGAGAAAGCAGGGAGAAGTAAAAGAAATAAAGAGCGAAAAGAAACTAGAAGAAAAGGTGGATGCGCTAAGAAGGGAAAATGGTAGGAAATTGAAATGGAAAGTGGGAGTGAAAATAGGGAGGCTGGGTGCTAGCCGGGGTGGGGGGCAGTGCTGAGACCCACCCCGGGAGGAGAGGGGGTTCAGGTGAACACAGAGATGCAGTTCCGGCTTCTACAAGGAATTCTTGGAATTCTCATGGTTGGCCCAATTGGGTTAGTGAGGGAGGAAGCCAGGAGCACATTAGGAAATTAGGCTCTTAGGTAACGGGATTAGAGGCAGCCGGTCAGGCCAGGACCTCGATGGAACTGGACCGCTTGTGGGCCCCTTTGATGGGGTAGCAAACAAGTCTTCCCCCAAGAAATTTCCTATTAATGGACCTGATGGCACAACATACGGGGTGGGGCTCGGAGCCGTGGCCAGGGGCGGGGTGTACATCGCCTCTGATGAAACGTGGGAGTCACTTTTGCCCCTTTTAAATAAGCAGAGAATCAGCGCGAGGCCTTGGTGAACTCTGCGTGGCCGTGGGGGTGAGCAGAGAGCAGCGGCCTGGCTAATTGGATTCCCGAGCTCTGCCGGCAGACGGCCAGCCTCCTCCCAGGGCGTGGAGGCAGACACGAGGCTGGCCGCCAGCCAGCGTGGACAATGAAAAGACATGGGCTTCGGAGGCCGGGTGTGCCCTGAGTGGCCAGCTGCTCCCAGGGCCCCGGCCACACAAAGTGGGAGGAGGGGGCTGAGGCCATCCCTGTGCCCAGAGGTGTCCACTAGGCCTGGATTCTGTCCACCGCGCCATCACTCTTCTCGCTGCTATTTCCCAGGTCAAAACACAGAGTCCAGAGCCCCCGAGAGAGTCCAGGGGTTATGGTGCTTGTCTGGCACCATATCAATACCCAGCACCCCATATGGTCCCTCAAGAACCAGAGCCAGGTTCACCTGCCTCCCAGCACTGCCGGGGGTGGGGTGGGGAGGGCAAATTTAGCAAACAGAATCTCAGAGTGTTGAGTCCTCTGCATCCTGCCCAAGGCCCCGGGGCCAGTGGGGTCCAGAGCTGTGAGCCAGTGACTCCTGGCTTCAGCCTTTCCCGTGGCATCTGCCACCATCGCTGTTTATGGATCTGTAAAAGTTTTACCACTCAAGAGCTTGACCTTTTAAAACCTATAAACTTAAAAACAACAGCAATAACAGTAACAGTGACCTTCTGCAGCCCGTCAATGAAGTGACCCCCAAGAAATTTCCTATTAATGCGTTTAACGGTATAACACATGGGGTGGGGGTAGGGGATAGGTGCAGTGACCACCAGAGGTGAAAGATAATTTAACAAATACCCCAAGGGGCTACCTGCAGGGAAAGGTTGAGGGGTGGAGGTTTCCAGTGCTTAAGGCAGTCAGACCCTTCAGCCCCTAGTGACTTCAGGGACCTCTGCAGAGGAGGACATTCAGGCTCGGCACTAGCTCATGGGGGCCCATGTGGGACACCATCTCCCACTCCACACCGGGGGGGGGGGGGGGGCGGGGTAGTGAAGGAGGAAGCCAGGAGCACATTAGGAAATTAGGCTCAGACAGGAAGTGCTTTTCCACAGACAGGAAGTGCTCTCCCTCCTCCCATTCCAGGGATCTGACACATCCGTGAGTGGAGGGGTCTGACTTAGGAGGCTCTCTGCCCAGGGGAACGTGAAGCCCCAGGATGGGAAGTGTCTGACTCAGTTCCCAAAGTGGAGCAGGGAGACCAGAGAAGGGAAGCCATAGCATGCCCATGGACAGGAAGTCTCCTCCCTCCCCACTGGGGTTCTTTCTCGAACGTGCATGTTTGACCCTTCATCACGGCCCGGCCTTTGGGGTGGATGCCCTGACCCCTAACACCGCTGCCAAGCATTTGCCAAATGTGCCCTCGCACCAGGCCCCTCCCACCGGTCCTCTGCTCTGACTGCATGTCAAGTCACCGTCTGTGACTGTGGTGTAAGAGCTCAGCTAGGGCTGTTGCGGTGTCCCCACATGATGGGCTAAGCCATGTATCCTAGAAGGGCAGCAGTATGACCAGTCCCGTCTTGTGATGGAGCAAATTGAGTCCCGGCGACCGTCGTCCACTTGTGCGGGTTCTAGAGCGAGCGGAGGAAGTGGAAGCAGGTCTCCCCCACCTGCCACCTCCCGGGAGGATGAGACTCTGGCTCTCATCCCAGGGGTGAATTAGAAGCTTCCCTCCTGCCTTCGTGGCTCTGGCGGAAAGGCCAGGCTCATTAGGCTGGCCCTCCATGAGTCTGCTAATTAAAGATATTTTTATTGAAGAGTGTCATAAGTAAGACTCTGGGATGACTTAATGGACCATTAAGTTTTCTAGCTTCCCGGTACCAAACACTTTCAGAAACACCGTGTCCTGCCACCCTGGGCTCCGCAAGGCAAATGGTGCAAATGTCACATTGGTGCAAATGTCACAGAACCTGGTGGTGGGCAGTGGGCTGGGCTGGGGGTGACCCTCGTCTTCAGCAGGCTCACCCCAGAGAGAGGCGCTGGCATTTTGGTTTTATTCTGTGGAGCCTGGCCCCTGGACAGTTCCTCCCCAGCAGTGTCCACTCAGCCTACCTTTGTCTCCGGGTACCTGGGGAAGTGGCTTCTCGCCCTCTGACTGGGTAAGAGTGAAAGTAAGAGGGGCTGGAGTGATAGTATAGCAGGTAGGTGATAGATAGTATGCTTACCTTGCATGTGGCTGACCCAGGTTTGATTCCCAGCATCCCATATGGTGGTCCCCCGAGCACCACCAGGAGTGATTCCTGAGTGCATGAGTCAGGAGTCAGCTCTGAGCATCACTGAGTGTGACCCAAAAAGCCAAAAAGAAAAGAAAAGAAAAAGAGTGGAAGTAAGAGCCTCTTCTCACATTTGGTGGTCACAGGTGATGGATGATTCTCCTGGGAGGGGAGCATTTTTTGTCTCCCTTCCACGGGGAGTCCAACAAGGAGCAGGTTGGGAGAGAACCCCAGTCAGTGGTCTGGGAAGAACCCTGGGCCTTAGGGACCCTGCGATGCTCTTTGGGAACACCTGGAAGTCTAGGCCAGGTCCTGGAAGGTGGAGAGCCCTGGACCATGGAGATAGAGTTTGGGTCCTCCCACGGCCCTTCCTGGAAGTCCTGCCCATGTGGGCAATATCCACCTTTGCCCTCCAAGCCTATGCAGGAGAAGACAGGAAGTCTTGGGAGTGAGAGAACCGTCTGAACAAAACAAGATGGAGGACAGAACTGA